GCACAACTTGATTCTACTGGAATAAACAGTGAAGTTCCTGCTGATCCTCCGTGATTGTGTTTTCTTCTCTCAGGACAGAGGAAGAATGAACTGACAAGGATGTGTGCTATCAGCTGTGGCTGAGTCAGGACACAAAGAGCAGGGCCCTGCACATCGATCTCTGTTCACTGATGTCAGAACGTTACATTTCCATCCTCGGCCCTGTCCCCAGCTTGACACTTGGACCCGCCCTAGAAAGCACAGGCAGCGTTTTCAGCCGTCACCGCAGGCACCGGAGGAGGGCAGGGATCAGTGGGTTCCGAGGTTTCCTGTTCTAGTGCAGTATTTATAGGTGACGCAGACGTAGCAAGCCATGACCAATAATTTACAGATGTGTAAACGAAATAAACAGAAACATGTTAAAGGTCACCCATTTGGAGATAAAAAGAAATACAAAGAAAAAAAATGCATCCATTTAGAATCAGAATAATCATACTCTGGCTCCTCCTGCTGTCCCTAGAAGGGAAAACGGAGCCAAAACAATCGGTTTGGACCACACTCCTCCCCTCCGCTGCCCTTGATTTCTACTCCTGCGTTGCCTGCCTCCACACACACAGACACGCACACACGCCACCTATGTACACAGACACACACGTGCACACACACCATACACACCAAAGGCGCCACAACACCAGGAAACATCGTGTTTTGCATGCTGGCTTTTCAGTAGTAGCTCCCTACTAGTTTGAGCAATAAACACCAATAACCGGCAGCTGCGGAGGCTGACGCCTGTCATCCCAGCACTTTGGGAGGCCAAGGTGGGCGGATCACGAGGTCCGGAGTTTGAGACCAGCCTGGCCAACTTGGTGAAACCAACCCTGTCTCTGCTAAAAATACAAAAATTAGCCGGCTGTGGTGAAGTGCACCTGTAGTTCCAGCTACTCAGGAGGCTGAGGCAGGAGAATTGCTTGAACCCAGGAGGCGGAGGTTGCAGTGAGCAGAGATCACGCCACTGCACTCCAGCCTGGGCAGCAGAACGAGACTCCGTCTCAAAAAAACAAAACCACAGATAAAAGGGAGTGAAGGAGCATTAGGGATGGGCAACACTGAAGGGCCTGACGGTACTTTTAAATTTCATGTCCAGGCTCTGGAGACTCACGTGGCTCATGACCAGGATCGGCCCTGCCAGCAGTCTGGAGTGCCAAACTTGCCAGCTACTGACTGGGCCCTTGCAGGAGACCACAAAGGCCAAGGACCTCTGTTAGAAACAGCAACTTTTCTCCCCAGGAGAATCTGTCCATTCATTAGCTGATTAGCATAGGTAAGCAAACAGAAACCAATCTAGGTATATTTCAAAGAGAGGGAATGTATCATAGATTTGGCTCCACAAATGACAGAAGAGATGAGAAGCCAACAGAGGAGCTGATGCAGTTCGGTGCCGTGTCCCCACCCAAATCTCATCTCGAGTTATACTCCCCACGTATGTAGACGGGTGGGTCATGACTGGATCACGGGGGTGGAATTCCCCTTGCTGTTCTCATGATAGCGAGTGAGTTCTCACGAGATATGGTTGTTTAAAAGTGTGTGGCACTTCCCCTCTCCCTCTCTCTCTCCTGCTGTTACGGTAAGGAATGCTTGCTTCCCCTTTGCCTCCCACCACCACTGGAAGTTTCTTGAGGCCTCCCAGCCATACTTCCTGTATAGCCTGTGGAACTGTGCATTAACTAGACCTCTTGGTCTGCTTGGGAGGCTAAGGCAAGAGAAACGCTTGAATCTGGGAGGTGGAGGTTGCAGTGAGTAGAGATCGCACCAATGCACTCCAGCCTGGGTGAGACTGCCGTCTCAAAAAAAAAAAAAAAAAAAGAGGATCTACCTGAGACTGGATAATTTATAAAGAAAAACCCAGGCAACAGGCCGACCATGACCCAGTAGGATCTGAGGGTGGCCCCTTCCAGATCCCAGAGGATTCCAGCACTGAGAGGCTACAAAATATCAGAAATGGGAGACCTCTAGGAAAACACGGTGCTGAGGAGATATCACCACCCCTCTCCTCAACCAATATCCTAAATCCTTTCTACAGTTTTCTGACTTCTAAGCCTTCCTCCCCTTTTTATGTACCATCTTTTGATTATTTTGGAGACCTCTGGCAGCCTCCTAAGGTTTCATTTAATTGGTTTGAATTTGCGAGGAGCAGCTTCCTTTCCGTCTTACACTTGGCTACCATGTGGCCCATGCAAAAACAAGCTGCGTGGATCCAGAAAAGGAAGCCTGTAGCCCAGGCGACTGCCTGCCCAGCGGGGGAGCCACTGGTGGCAGGAAAGGAAGCCTCCTAGCGATGGCAATCATCCTCTATGCGGCTCGCAGCCCCAGACAGCACACAACAAGGAGAGGGAACAGCCCAACCCTGGGCGGGAGCGGACACCCTGCACACTGCAAGACGGGATCCCACCACATTCATTTCCGTCGTCAGTAACGTGAGCAGGGTGATTCAGGGTACAAGGAGATGATCCTAAATAATAATGTACAGCAGGAGGTGAACGCTAATGGTAATTACTCTAAGAAACCACCTCAGCCACTCCTGAAATAGTAACTATTGTAACAGTGGTTACAATGAGCCTGAATGGGTCAACAGAAGTAGACTGAAATGCAAACTTGGAAAATGAGTTTGAAGAGGTCTACAGAGAAAGTCCTTGCATATGAGAAATATCGAGACCCTGTATGTGTGAGAAACAACTCAATCATAAACGTAAGGAAAAGCTTAGGAACAGAAGGACCACCAAGCTCAGACAGCTATACTGAGAATTCAGAGCAGAGCGGAACAGATCAGATCAGCTGACATCCTACTAAGGTCAAAAATACACCAGAGAATTCAGGATGCAAAGGAGCTTACTGGAGAAAAGCCACCAAATAAACTGAGAATCACATACAAGTCTCCCATTAGGAATTCCACACAAAGCACCCCTGATATCACCTTGGCTTCTCTCTGACCAAGAGAACCATTCTGAGCCTCCTACGGCATCACGGGACAGTGGGCAGGCCCACATGTCAGCAGGCATTTGTGAATGGAGCTGCAAGTTTAATAAAGTCTTCTGAAATTTGGAATTGTTCCCCATTGGTGATTTATTGTTAAGTACAATTCCCAGGGATCTTGCATTTCTAAAAATACTATTTGCTTTTTATTTAACACTGAACCTTTTGATGTTTTATAATACAAAAATAGTGTCTTATTATTTTAAAAGCTTAGGAGAGAAACTAGCCATATTATTAGAAAAAGAAGATATATGCAGCTATAGTCTGTTCAAATATCAAGAGGTGTGACTTTTCAAATTCACATTTCAATCTTTATTTACATTAGACTTTCAGAAATAGTGGTTGTAAATATTAAAACGCCCAAGCCTGGGTGAAATTTTATTGAGAATAACTACAAATAAAAGGAAACTGATTTTTTAAAGTCAGTTTCTGAAATTTAGATGAAAAGAATATTGAGTATTAAGCAAAAAAAAATGATATTTACATATCAATGAAGGTTTTCTGCTCATAGATTCATTTCCTATGAAACGTAACAGAGGCAAGCTTGGGGAATTACAAAGAAAGGAAAAACCCTAATCAAATAGGTACTGTTGTTCAAACAGAATATTAGTGAAAATGATCCAATCAGTTGCTTGAACTAAATTTTTTTTCTTTAAGCCATTCATGCCAGAACACAAGCTCTCAAAGCATTAAGAATTTGTACTACATTCCAAGTGTTTGCCTCCAACAGATGGGGGGATGTGAAAGATGCATTCCATGGAGATGAGGGGGGACGGGGGACAAAGAAGGCATCGGTTGGTCTCAGCAAACACAGAATTCAACCCCAATGGGGACACAGTTCTCAAAGTAAGCATTATTCATTCATATTCTACATGAATCAACCTAAACACACTAAATTCAAGTTGCTGGATCTTTAACTTCACCATTGTTCAGAATTATACCATAGAATGCAACATAACCTATGAAAAAATTTTTCTAAAGAGAGAGTACGAAAAGTAGCAAAGTATACCTTCATGGAGTGAGGTTAATACTAAACTTTGTTTTCATATTCGTCTAAGGACTTCAGATAATCCGAGGTTCACCCTGTCAACAGATATGGTGATGGCTGTCATGGTTTTAGGTCTTTGTTTGAAAGAAAATCAGTGCTTATCACTATAAAACACAGTAGCTTATAGTGTGTCAATTGAGGATCTCCATAATTTATTGACTCAATCTTTTGCTTATCAAAAACAGAGCAATACATTGCTCTAAAGATCTTTAGGGGGCAATCTCAGAAATACCCATATATACACACACAAATTCCTGGTTTCTATGTGGAATTTAAATATAATTCTATTTTATTACAATATTAAGATTTCAAATTTAAAATTAAAGAAACCCAAGAATTATAGAGGTTATCAAAGACATATTAACTTGTTCTTGGAGTACGTTCAAAATTAATAACAAAGGTATTATTATGCTAATATATACTTTATATTCTGCCCAATGGAAGAGACTGAGAATCTGACTCTGGCAGTTTCTGACCTCCCTCTACTTTGAATTAATGGTGTGAACACTGTGTTTCCTTCTGAAATCTGTGATTTATGTGAAGTTTATGATAGAAACATGCAAGAAAAGCATAAACAAGGAAAAGAACAAAGCAATGTTGATTCCTATTTGGAAAATTAAATGAGAAAGATCTTTTCTCCAAGATGTCCTTAAATGATTCTCTATTTTAACCAAATCCAGTGGCCTGGTCCCTTCCTTAAACCCTGTTTTCAGAAGGAATTTTAAATGTATTTGCAATTTCTATTTCCAATCTGAAGCTGGACACAAATTAGTTTGTAGACCAATAGAACGCTAAGAAAAGCTTAAATCAATCTTCACCTTTTTATTTATGTTCCTCATTCTTCAGAAACGTAATTGCAGTTTTTATTAACTTTGTTTTATGGATCTAATATTTAAGAAGAAGTCTATCTTTTATGTCACAGCAAGAAGGTTAATGCACTTACAGATTCCCCTGCAATACATCTTATGCAAGGCTGGGCTGAGCTCCTTCCGCCATTCTGAGAAATCTATTTAACAAATCACAGTTGCAGATACATCAGAACAATGATTATTTACACCTTCTATTAACATATTTAAACATGCTCACAACTGGATTGGTGGGCAAAGGAACATACCCCTGTACTTGGCCTCCCCTGGCCACTCTCTAGCCTCAGTGCTGGGGCTCTTGATGGAGGCTCCTGGTCCTCTGGTCCCCAGGACGCCAGAGCACAGGCGTTCAGCTGGTGACAGCCATGCTCATGCCCACTGGCTTCTAATCTCCTGCATGCCCGTTTCTGAAACAAACAAAATTTCACTTTAGATGGTCTCATAAAGCACACAACACTCTAATTGAATTTGCTTTCAGAAAACTTCAGCTGCAAATACAGACCCCTGTGGAGCTGGAAAACTTTATAGGGCATTTGAGGAGATGACTTTAAACTTTATCTTTTCAGAATAACAATCATCAATTACATTTAACCTCATTATTTCTTGCATTGTCTGATATTTACTTAGCTTTGTACATTTAAAATAGTAATTTCAAACAATTTTGGCTGAAACTCTTGTAATAAACTATGGTGACTGGTTTATTGATATTGAAAATGTACAAAACCTGTAAATTTTGTTTAAGAAACTAGTTATACGCTTTTGCTTGGTATCAAATTACATACTTTCTTAATACAATATGAATAATTCACATGTGACTACTTCTCTGTCTCACTGGCACTGAAGAACAAATTAGTTTTATTTATTTCAAAGGTTGCACACACAGTCTATAACTGATAACCTTTGGGAAAGTTAGCATTTGGTTTTTACTACTATGTGAACTAAAGAAAATAATTACAATCAGAATGCTCTAATGCTACAGAAAAAAAGTGCTCAGTTCCAAAGTCCCAAGATTTTGTGTATTTTTAGGGCAGCCATGTTGTAACTGACTTGGCGTTTCAGAGACAGGAGGGCCTCTGTGAACAGTCAGAGGCCACTTTGGCCCAGGGCCAGCAATCCACCCCAGGAGCCCTGGCAGCCAGCCCAAGAGGACCCACTGCTGGACACTTGATGTCAGAACACACTTCATGGTACACTGGCATCTCCCCGACTTCTTCAGTCACTTGCAAAGCACCTCTATGAGTTTTGCAAAATGTGTTTATTATCTGTACTATTATTATTTAATAGATTCTTAATGAACTTTTTTCACTTAATGCATTTACACAATATAGCAATCTTATGACAGACTGGAAATGATACATTAAAAATGGGAGATAAAGGAAAAAGAATGAAGAGAGGAGAATTCTCACTATTGTGTAGTTCATTATTATATAAGCAATAGGTGAGTATTAACTGATACTGAAAAAAAAACTGCTAATCAGACAATAAAGGGTTAAATAATAAAACAGCATACCTAAGGACATTAAATAGAATTAAATACAAATAATCACTAGAAAATACAAATCCTTCCACATCCAAAATTTTAAAAGAACAAGACCCAACTATACACTGTATACAAGGGATGCACTTAAAATCAAGTGATTCTGAAGGGCTAAAAATAAAAAGGATGGACAGAGGTATACTAAGGAAATAAAAATAAAAACAGAGCAGGAGCAGATCACATAGAACACAAGCCCCAAAGTGTTAAATACAACCACAGACTTTTCTTTAATGCTGAAAGCCACAGTCCACAGTGAAGACATAATACTCATAAACATCTATGAGCCAAATAATACAACTACAACCTTTATCAAAGAGTACAGGAGATGTGGGCAAACACAATTAGAAACATACTAATAACAGGAGGTTTCACACATCATTCTCAGTACAAAGCAGAGCAGGTATACAGAAAACAAGTAAGGAGACAGATCTAAACAACATAATCAATCAAGGTTGACCTTAGGGACATATATATTGAACTCTGTACCCTGATAATAGAGAATACACGTTCCTCCCAAGAACCCACAGCACAGTCACAACTGATTGCATTAAAGGGGGGAAAAAAGCCAATGACTTCTATGTGGTAGAAACATAAACAATACCTCTGATTACGATGCAATAAACTATCAATTATTAACAAACAAACAAACAAAAAAACAGAAGGGTGCTCCACCTGGAAATGTCAGTCTTATTATTTATTAGGTCACTAAACTGAAAGGACAAAATTAAGAAAAATAATGATTACAATGAAAATACTACATATCAGAATCCATGAAATACATTTAAAGCAGTCATCACAGAAAAATTCATTGCACTGACATTTTTATCAATAAAAATGAAAGAATGAAAATTAATAATTCCCAGCCAGGCACGGTGGCTCACACCTGTAATCCCATCACTTTGGGAGGCTGGGGCAGGCATATCGTTTGAGGCCAGGAGTTTGAGACCAGCCTGGGCAACATGGTAAAACCCTGTCTTTACCAGAAAATATAAAAATTAGCCAGGCATGGTGGTGTGCCTGTAGTCCCAGCTACTCCGGAGACTGAGGTGGGAAGACTGAACCCAGAAGGTTGAGGCTGCAGTGAGCCAAGATCATGCCACTGCACTCCAGCTCCCAGCTCATAAAAACTAAGGGAAAAAAAACAAACCAAAAGAATACACCAAGAAAAAAATAAAGGAAAAAGCTAAAATTAATAAGAAAAAAGAATACATAAAATAAAATTAATGAGGTAGGGAATAGAAAAGCAGATTTAATGTACAAATATAAATCCTGGTTTTTGGAGGGAAAAAAGAACAGCTTCTTAACAAATCACTAGTTTAAGTTGGTCAAGAAAAAGGTGGAGTGAATACAAAAATCGAAAATAAAAAAGGACACGGGAAATACAATGAAACAGGAAATTTTTAAAATCTTAAGGGAATATTAAAATGTAGATGAAACTGATAACTTCCTAAGGATAATCTGATTACCAAAACTGATCCCATTAGAGTAGAAAGCTTAAACTGATGATTTCCCAGAAGAAACAGAAAGAGTTATTAAGTAACCAGCCCACAAGAAGCCCCAGGACCAGACAGTTTCCCAGGGGAATTCTCCCAAACCTTCAAAGGCCAGGTAATGCCAATGCTCTATGAAAAAGATTCTAGCACACTGTCTCCTTTTATGAAGCAAATGTAACACTGATAAACCAGGCAGAAAGAGCAAGAAAATAAAACTACCCACTAATCAGTTGCTCTTCAATATTGATATAAAAATATGAAATGAGGTCTAAGATATCAGAATTATTAGGAAACTCTTAGTATCATGTACTATATTAATAAACATAAGGAAATGGTGTGATTACCTCCATAGATTCTGAAAAATCCCTTAACAAAATTTAAAATCTATTTATGATAAAAGTTAAAGAAAACAGGAATTGAGGGGATATACATTAAACATGATAAAATATACATTCCTTAACTCATTACTACATAGGGAAAAACTAACAGCATTTCTACCACATGAAGAACAGGGCAAAGATGCCCACTGTCTCTGTTTCTGTTCAACCTTGTATGACAGGTATTACCCAATATATTGAGACGAAAGAAATCAATCAGCAGAGTAAGAAGGAGTAAAGTAGTAAAACCACTTCTATTTGCAGTTGATAACCATATATATCTGGAAACCCTCAGAGTCAATGATAAAACTAACTCAAATAATAAAGGAATTCACTAATACAGAATTAATATACAAAAATCAATAGCTTTCAAATACAAAATAATCATCAGAGAAAACTCCATTTAAAATAATTGCAACAAACATTAAATACCTACGAACAAATTTAACAAGAATTGCACAAACTCTATACAAGGAGAATGTAAGACATTTTTGAAAGACACTAAAGGAGATATGAACAAGAGAAAAGACATCCCCAACTCTTGGCTGGATAACCCAGTATTATAAAGATGACAGTTCTCCCTAAATTAATTTGTAAATTCAACATAATCTCAGTAAAAATCCCAGTAAACTATTTTTATAGAGTTACACCAGTTGATACTAACGGTCACAATGAAAAAAAAAAAAAAATGTAACAAGAGCCAGGAAAACTCTGAAGAAAAAAATAAAACAACTCCTGGATATTAAAATAAACCACAGAGGCCAGGCGCGGTGGCTCACGCCTGTAATCTCAGCACTTTGGGAGGCCGAGGCGGGTGGATCACGAGGTCAAGAGATCGAGACCATCGTGGTCAATATGGTGAAACCCTGTCTCTACTAAAAATGCAAAAAATTAGCTGGGCATAGTGGCACATGCCTGTAATCCCAGCTACTCATGAGGCTGAGGCAGAAGAATTGCCTGAACCCGGGAGGCGGAGGTTGCGGCAAGCCGAGATCATGCCATTGCACTCCAGCCTGGGTAACAAGAGCAAAAACTCCGTCTCAAAAAAAAAATAATAATAAAAATAAACCACAGAGACTCCGTAATTAAACACGGAGGTACTGGTATACAAGGAGGCAAACACACCAATGTGGCAGCAGTAAAAGTCCACTTAGAAATTGAAATACATATGAAAATTTGGCTTCAAATCACCGGGATAAGAATGCACTTTTATATATACATATATAATTTTCTTTTAGAGATGAGGAATCATTATATTGACGAGGCTGGTCTCAAACTCCTGGCCTCATGCAATCCTCCCATGTAGGCCTCCCAAAGTGCTAAGATTATACGCATGAATCACTGTGCCCAGGAGGATGGACTTTTTAATATATGGTGCTGGGACAACTTAGAGCCATTTGGAGAAAAGAAATGTAGATCTGCACCTCACACCATGACATGGCTTGGCTGTGTCCCCACCCAAATCTCATCTTGAATTGTGGCTCCTATAATTCCCACATGGGGGCGGTTCCCCCACAGTGTTTTCGTGGTAGTAAGTCTCACAAGATCTGATGTTTTTATAAGGGGCTCACCTTTGGCGTGGCTCTCACTCTCTTTCGTGCCCACTGCCAAGTGAGACGTACCTTTCACCTTCTGCAGTGATTGTGAAGCCTCTCCAGCCACATGGAACTGTGAGGCCATTAAATTTCTTTTCTTTATAAATTACCCAGTCTCTGGTATGTCTTTATCAGCAATGTGAAAACAGACTAATACAACAACATACAAAACCAAACCAGATGCATCAGGAACTGAATGTAAAAGATCTAATTACAAAGAACTATGCAATTCCTAGGAGAAAATTCTCTCATCTTGGTGTAGGGAAAGATTTTCTAACTATGATTCAAAATACAGAGGCAATAAAATCAAGACTGATAAGTCTGACTACAGGAAAATAAATAAATCCTAAACAACATCCAAAAATAACTGATATATTGAAAGAAAAATGTTTGCAACATACACCA